GAAAAAAAATTTAGAAATTATTGAAAAATCGTATATTTAAATTGATATTAGCATATAATATGATTTGTTAAATAAAACATATTTCTAATATGTGATTTTTTGGAGTACAAATAAAGAATATTGTTTTGAAAAGTATAAACTAATAATGTCATTTTTTTTTATCCAATGTATGAATTTCAAATATTAGACTAATGAGTTCATATAAAATATTTTAAAAAATTAAATAATTATATTATATTTTTAAAAAGTTAAAAAGTCTATTTATAAATATCTTTAAAGTTTAAAAGTAAAAATTATAAACTCGTATTAAAAATTGAGGGTATGAGAGAAATTAAAAATAATAGTAAAATATATAATAAGATTTATAAAGAAAATGTATATTAATATTTATAAATAAATTGATAAATTAAAATATTTATAATATAAATAAATTTATAATTATATATTGATATATATTAAATAAAAAAAATGAAGGTTTACCTTAAAAACTATTTTGTACGTGTAAAATTTAGCCTTTATAATTTCTTTTCAAATTTGATTTAAATAACAAATTTTGTTTGATGTTATTTTTGTAAAAATGAATAAAACTATATTAATAGAAATTTATTAAAGTGGGTTCAGACTAAATTTGCTCACTATTTAACTTAGAATAAATTTATGATATTTTTTTTAAAATGTATAGTTTCTATATATATAATATGAATTTGATAACTTTAAACAACAATGTAATGTTTATTTGATAAATAATAAAAAAATGTCAACAAAAATTTAAATTGATATATAAATAACAATTTTAAACAATAATAAATGAATAGAAAAAGATTAATAAAAATTTATTACTAATGAGTTCGTAATAGATTCGCTCAATAATCACCTTATAATGAATTTATTATATTTAAAAAATCATAATATATATATATAAACTTAACAATTTTAAACAATAATATTTGATATAATAATAAAAATAAAAAATAGATTTTCCAAAATGTTTAAAAATTTTAGAATAAAATATTGAATTAATCTCTATCTTTGTTTTCGTCGAATCTTTTTAAACCAAATATAAATATAAATAAAATATTTATTAATTTTATAATTATCGTATAAATAATTTATAGAATAATATACATTCAAAATCTTTTAATATGCTAAAAATCCAAAAACTAATTCATAATTTTAAAATATTATAATAATATTTATTTTTTCTCTAAAAAATTTTCAAAAACTAATTTATAAAATATTGATAAATAGTACACTTCGAAAAAAATTTCGTTTGAGATAATTTTTTATACATTTAATGTATCTAGTTGAACAATCGTAGAATTATATCTATAAATTCTATGAAATGCAAACTATATTTCTTATTTATCAAACTGCGAAATTTTCTACTACAACCAATTCCAAAAGGCCCCTTTTTATA